TGCTCTAATTAAAGCACCCCTCCCCCCCGCCCACCCCAGCACACGTTTAAGAACTCCCATAATGTCTGCACCTGGCCTAAGTAGCCATGGGTTGGGCTCATGAAGCGTAAGCTTAAGAGACTCTAAGAGTAACTTGCACCTAATTCTTCATCTCTGGATTTGGCTCAACCACTCCTTGTTCTGTTGATGGTCTCCCAGTTAACTCAACATTTTTGGCATTTAGGGGCAACAGTTTATTCCTATAAAATTATTTTCCCAGACTACTTTTTCATTCATCTCATCCCATGATTTAACTTTTTGCATAGTTAGTTGCTCTTTCTTCCTCTTCCAATATTGTTAAAGTACAATTATACTACAGTAATAAAAACAGATTCTCCTTTACTTTAAAAACCTAACCCTAATTGAAAAGAACCATGTTATTTTTCTTGGTGGTGCTTTCCTTTTTATATCATATCACATTTGACCTAGCATGGTCAAAGTTTCATGAGACAATAGTAAATATCTATTTAACATTAGTACTGCAACTGTATAATAATACATGGTGCTTATGGGAATAAGTGTATGACACCCCTTATAAAAACAGCAGCAGCGTTAAAATAGAGAGCTAGTTTCTCTCACCTGTGAATCTCCATGATTTCCTCAGCAATCATTCTTCCTATTTTACCTGCCCCAGCTCTTGTTCCACCTGGAATACCAGGGACTGTAGGATGGGTCCTTTTGGGGCCACCTAAAATGTGAGCGAATATCTATCTGTAAGATCTTACATGTGCACAGAGATAAAGAAAACAAGTTACACTCAACTCATTACATTCTTTTTAAAAAATAAAGTGAAGTTATAAATATAACGCGCCATCCTGCAAATTCTGAAGGACATTCTTGGCCATTTTCCAGTTACATTGTCACCCGTCTGTGATAAGGTCCCAAGGTACAGGCTGCTCTAACTTATGCTAGTGGCTGTTTCCAGAAGTGCAAATTAGGAAGGTTCCATAAGTGCAAATGTTGCCCCCTGCTAAGGTGTGCCTCTTAGAAGATGATATCCACACCCTGAGCACAAAATACTAGTGACATATTCACCATAACCAGGACTTGTTTGTCCGAGGCCAGATGGTAAGTGCACTTTTGGCAAACTGTTAGTGTTAAATATACAGTATTAGCGTGTCATCTGCTGTGCCTACACACTTTGATCAAACAATGGAAGAGGGTAAATTTCATAAAGCACACTACTAACAAGTCAGCATTTAGCAGAAGAAACCACAGCCAATATAGGACAATCCTTATATACCTGTTAAATATTTAACCAAGTCCATCCGGGTAACTGCAAATTCCTGAGAAGGGAGGGAAGAGCAGTACAAACCCCAAACATTATGCTCTTATGGTCTGTAATTGCCTTTTGTTACTCTCATGTGAACTTGGAAGCAGTGACAGAAGTCAGGAGAAACTGGAAGGTGTGCAAATAAAATGCACTTAAGACAATAAAAGCAATCATAGAGTACTGTCTGTGAATTCTTTTGTGTGTTAGCAATTCATTTTCAGACAGTCACCTCTACAACAATCTCTTTGGGTTGATGTCAATGAGAGATAAAATAGCCCAGAATCAAAATAAGTGTAACAAAAGCAACACCTATACGTAGAGCAGTCTCTCCCCTTGCAAGCAAACATCCAACTTTTCTTCCATGTCTCTCCTGCCATCACTGATTTCCTATGACTATTTACTCTCACTTTCATATCATCATCATCATCCATGCTTGTATTATTTCTATGCAAATTAAATCTGGGAGTAGGCACTCTGTCGTATACATTACATGTAAAGTATACCTGCTGTTCACCAAGAGATTGGCAACTTCTGCATGGGAAACAAGTAACCTCTGTCTAGCAGGTTTAACTCTCACAACACTGTAGTTACCTTCTCCAGCCTGGAGTACGCTGTCCATGCTATGTGGAGAAGCTGCAAGCTGTGGAAAGGCTGCATCCCCACCATCAAGCACGTTGGTGCTGAAGGTATTAAATCAAAACAAAGAAAATGACAAAATGACTACAAAACAGTAAACATGCTTTGCACACATACATACGTACTTGGATGGGGATATTTCAATGTCTGAAATTTAGGAGATAGATCCAAACATCCCAATGAGGAAACTACAATGAACAACATGTACTAGAGATAGATAAAATCAAGGAGGACGCTATTGGATATATTTGGCAGAAACAAATACAGAACTTGCACAAAATATCTGATTTAAGTTTTCTCTTGTCCTAAAATGAAGGAGCAACAGGCCCAGGACTTGAAGCAAACCTCAGTGAAGAAATGGGGTTCCTTCACTGGAGAGCTATGTAGCCAAGTGCAGTAAATAGGATTGGGATCCCAGGGTCTTTGTATATGAGCTTATTTATCATATTTTCTCACATACCACACACCCCAAATAAGACATGCACCTTGTGTTAGGAAAGCAGAATGAAGAAAAGAAGTCATTGTGGCATTCTGGCCTCATGGACCAGGAATACAGTCTATTATGAGTCATGCATCCCCCTTGGCTGGTCAGCCAAAAAAGTCACTGCCAATTTGGCAAACCTCTTGCTTTTGGCTAAAGTAGCAGCCTTCATCCCTCCTCCATGTGGTTGAAGGAAGCCAGCCCTCAACAATCATTCTGGGATGGAATCACCCCTATTGCTTTAAAATGCACCCCCCAATTCTGGATGGGTAATTTTTGGGATAAAGGTACACATGGTATATGAGTAAATGTAGTATTCAAATTTATACAAACTAATAAAAGTACTCATCCAGTAACTCAAGTCATTGGCATTAATAAATATTAAAAGGGCCTGTGTGTAGTTAATTTCTAGATTTCATTCCTTTTGTTGTATACCTTTGCTTTTATTTAGCTTATGAGCTTAAAAACAACACATTAGTTTAACATTTTAGAGGAATCTCTATGTTCTTATCCTTGAGGCAGGATAAAATCTTGATGTTAGAGTGCATGTGTTAAGGAAAAATACTTACGAAACAACTGTATTTGTTGAGACAATATATTCTACTTCTTTGGTCCAAGGGTTCATGAAACTGAACCAGCGACTCCTCAATGTAATAAAAGAGCCATCTTTTATTTTAAACTTGTAACAATTGGTTGTAATTTTTTCTCTTGTCTGTAAAACTAAACAGCGAGAGATAATGAAACACCTTAGTTGTCAGTTTTACACCAGGAATATATAGAGACTAGAGATGTTACACAGACCTTTCATTTCAGTTTTAGTTGAATTTAAGTTGGCAGAAAATAGCACTACTTCTAAGACTCTCTCTATAGCAGAAACACAGATTCAATAAAAATCTTAAGTTTTTGCTTCATGCCATTTCAACCATTATTACACTGTTCAGAGCATATAAATCAAATTAGTTTTTGTGCAAAAAAGTAATACTTGCCAACCTAAAAACAGTACAATTATTTTATGTATTTTTGTAAAATATAAAGAACTGATATATATCTAGTTAAAAACTAAAACTCTCCTTCTTAAAGCTTAGTCATTAATGATTTACCTTGTCTATGACATTCCGCAAGATGTCCTATATCATCTTGATGAAAATATTCATAACAAGAAGTGCCTAGAAGTTCCTGTGGCAAGTAGGCCAGAATGGCTGTCGCCCTTTAAATTAAAAAAAAAAAAAAATCACCCCTGCATTTCCACATTAAAGTAAGTGGAGTAAAGGTACTTTTTAACTTTCAAGTAAAACTAAAAGTTATTTGCATCTCAATTCTGAACTAAATTAAAATTAATCATACAATGCCAATAGTTTTCTTTTAAGTACTATATTCTGATCCGCTGCCTACAAATGTGAGAACACTTCCAATTTGGAGAACATAGAACTGATTTAAACCCCCTGGTAATCCACAAGAAACTGGGAGAAC